TTTCAAGTTTGAAAAATTATGAAATTAAAGAAATTTATGTTACTATAGTAATATTATTCTGTTATTGATATATTATGAAATTCAAATAATATTTTATTTTCAAGATTTTATTATTAGATATAGCTAAGTAACTTATATATTTTAAATAAAATAAGTCTTCTTTTAACTTAAAGTACTTTACTTAAATATTATACAATTAAAGTTTTTCAAGATTTCATATATTTCTGTAAAATATTTATCTTCTTGATATTTCTAAATTAATATTTCTTTATTAATTAAATTAATAATAATTTCTATAATAATATTATCTTTATCAGATTTATACTTATTTTAAAATTACTAACTTATAAAATCTCTAATTAATAAATTTATTTCTTGAAAAGATTATGTTATATCTTGATATATTTTAAAAAGATATGATTTGTGATTACTAAAGATAATATTATAACTTGATTATAATTTTCTGATTAATTATCATAATTAATTATAATTCTTTAATTAGCTATCACAAGTTATAATTAATTAAAATAATATCTTTAATAATTATTATAAACTTTTGCTCTTCTAAATATTACTTTTAGAATTAAATAATATATATAATTACAAGTAATACTTTTTCATAAATTAAATAATTTTATTTTACAGATGAAAGTTTTCTTGACTTAAAAATTATTAATTGATTATTTTTGTCTTGATTTTAACTTCAATAATAAAATTTAAAATATTTATTATAACTATAAATAGTAATTTTAATTAGATAATAACTAATAATAGCTTCTTAATTATTATAATATGATGATAAATAAAGTATAATCAAAGCTTAATTTAGCCATACAAATATTTCTGGCAATTAGCATTATTATTTCAAAATAATTATTATTTTAATTTGCTGATATCTTTGTTAGATATCATGTGAAATTATTAAATTATGAGAAAACTAAATGATTGGTTAGCACACATAATTAAGTGTGTTCCACATATCATAGTATACTACTATTATGATTCAGGAGATTTCACATAGTCAATCACTATCATTAATAAGTATTCTGCAAAAAAAATCTTGTGCAAATGATTCAAATTTATTGTTTGATATGAAGATTCAACTATTCCTAATGATAACTAATCTTTTTTGAAAAGGTATGAATCAAGATTAGTCTGTATTTTTTGATTCATATGAAAATTTAACATATTACTTCTTATTGAATTAATTAACCCAATGTGATGGAAGTTTATCTGCAAACCATCAGGTAAATTACTCAAAAATAACATTATTTCTTGAATGTGGTTAAGAACTTGTATTAGCATAATTGATAGTGGCAAGGATATTTTCTCGGAATCCAATTTGCTAGATAGATTGTGGCTTGGTTGTACTGTTTGAACAATATCTTCGTCAGTAAGCAAAACTTCTCCCTCTGATTCTTTATCATCAATTTGTAAATATTCTTCTGTATCTATATGTTGGTTTTTAAAAAGATGAGAAATAAATTGGCAGATCTCTTCTAATTCTTTTTTGTGAACTAAATATAGATTGATGCTGACATTTATTTGCTCATTTTCAGAGTCATCAGATTCATTTGTAGATGGCATGATTCTTATTTTGATCTAGCAATTTCGAATTATAGCTGGTATTACAGCATTCCATACTGCTACAGAAAAATTAATTACATCTAGAATGCTCAAGGAAATAGTTGGTTTGTCCAAGATACGAGCAAGATCATAAGTTTCAATCTGATTTCTAACAAGAATCTTTCAATAATTTGCCTAATTAAATATTAATTAGTTTATTGTCAATATATTAGCTATCAAAAATCAAATCACACTAATCTTAAAGAAATTAATTATACCTGCATCACAAGATTGTAAGTGTGCAGTTGTATTTGGTAGCAAATAATAAACACAAATATTAGATAAATTTCTCACCATATTATTAATAGAATATGTTGATGCATTATCTACCAAAAGCAAAATCTTTCGATGTTGGATCTGTATTTGATCATTAAGTTTTTTTAGGTAATTATTCCATATTGAAACTTGCATCCAAGCAGTCTTATTCCA